GACGGAATCCACAGTCAGACGAAATGGGTGTCTGCTTATTCCTTCCTCTGGCAGGAGGGCATGAGAATCCCATACACTCTCACCGTTATCGACACGCCTGGACTGGGGGACACGGAGGGTTTGCAGAGAGACGAGGAACTTGTGGTCAAGGTAAACCCCTCCTTTCATCAGAAAACTGTGTAGTACACTGGAGACATGAGTCGAAAACGATAGCTTCGTTACTGATTACGATTTCGATTAGAGTTATCGGCACTGAATTTCGAATCCAATTACGAATAACGATTAGTCTCCTGAGAAAGTTTATAATTGACATTACGATCAATGAAGAAGTTCTCGATCACGATGGTAGACACGATAATTACCACCTTCACTTGACAACTATATTCACGACTGGAAAACATTTTCATTTTACGAGAAAGCTGAAACAAACAAAAATCCTAAAAGTTTCTGAGCACGAAGAGCAGCATTGCCCCAAGGCTTCAAGCAAGCTATCTCTCAAACCGGGATCCTCACTGCTACTCCTTGAGAAATTGGCTATCTTTTGTAGACTACCCTACACTGTAAGGGTGGACTGAGGTCGAGGAAGAGAGCAAGGAGGGAAGCAGATGGAAGAGGGAAAGACATGACCATTCGTGAATCGGAAAACAAAATACAGGGTGACCCAGAAGTAATAGGGCAGTTAGTGGTACAATCAGCAGCCACTACAATTTTTATTTGCAAAACTTAATACATAATGATTCCCTAATTAAATTTAAAATCAATTAATAATCAAAATAAAAAGATAAAATAAAAAATAATTGTAGTGATTGCTGACTTTACCACTAACTGCCCTATTACTTCTGGGTCACCCTGTATATGCGAAGGGAAATTCGTACAGTAGTTCCCGAAGTTATTTATCTAGTCCCGTCCAGAAGACAGTATATTACTACACCAGGTTCATATCTCTCCAGCCCTCATGTATAAAACTTTCATATATGAAATATTTGAAATTGTTGGAACTGAAAATGTGTATTTGCTTGCTATTTTTTTTCTGCTTACAGGTGGCAGCATAAAATTTCCATATTTTGATGGGAACATAGACCGTATGGAGATGTCGAAGTTATTGTCTATGATTTGGATCAAGCCTTTTAATATTTCCCATTGCGATTGCGGATAACAATTATTAATAATGTTATCGATAGCAATCCGATTAGGATCATTGTGATTTCACTAAAAAAAAGTAGCTCCATGAGCGGCGCATGTAAAATGATTATCGAGAATAGATGAGGAACTCCTAAGCTCTAATGTCTCTACAGGAATACGGGCAACTTGCGTAATATGGGGAAAGGCTGCGATGGAGCGTTCTGAGAATCCATATAGATATCGCAGTGATACTTAGAATAGCTTGTTGATAAGGAATTTGAAATCCCGGAATTCAACGCTTTGTGATGGAACGCTCGCGAGATGGGATGCTGGAGCCATGTCAGAAATGAACAAGATGGGCAAACCCAGTCCAGTAGTGTCCCTAGTTTCAGTTAAGGAAGCCCTCATTTTGTCACCTAATTGAACAAAAAGCCATCTTTTTCCGGTCTTCGACCATCAAAAACCTAATTTCTCATTTATATTTGGTAAAAGAGACAAACGGTCCCCATGGGAGGACCGTTTGTGGGAGGATGATTGGCTGTGGGTGGTTGGATCCATCCTCTACGAAGGTTGGTAGGGAACTGACGGCTCTGCGGATGGCACATGCGCATTGTGGTCCAGAACCTGAAGGGTGAACGTGTACGAGTGCCTTCCTCTCTATGACCAAATTTCAAATCCAAACATTGCAATAAGCATGGCAACTTTGGTGCAAATTCACCACAAAAAGAACTCAGCCAGTATCTTGTTAATATCTACCCGCTTGCCAATTCTCGCATTGATCAGACCAATATTTTTTAGTTATCATCGGACAACCAAAGTGTGACACATGGACGGACAGGACGGGATTATAAGTGGTCTCCATCCTTTCAGGAAGGGAAGCCCACTAAAAAGAAGTCAATATTGTGAAAGATCTCCAACATTAATTTCAAGTTGACAAAATCTATGGAGCGAAATGCATTGGACAACAGGGGATTCGTTGAGAATTCGTTGTCGGCTGCCACTTTTTTCTCGAAAGGTCAACAGCTTTCATTGCGTTAATGAGTAATAGCAGCGAGAAGCCTCAGAAGCTTTACTCTTAATTTAGATCTTAATGAGCTTAATAAACAAAAGGTGAATGCTGCAAGGAGTAGAAAGAAAGGGAAAGGAGTTCCCTCTATGGTCGAAGATGCTTCATTTATGCAGTAAAGTACCGGACCGAAATACCTCTATACGAGATTCGGCTTTTATTGATATTATAGTTGAAGATCTGGCGTTCGATGTTGAAGCAAAAACAAATCGGAGGAGGGGGACTCGGGTAATCGCATTATCAAGTGGGATATCAAATGAACAAAGCACAACAATGTACTGTTTTCCACATAAATTGAAGGTGGTAGCAATGACTAAAATTGGAAATGGAATCTGAAGATGCACGGACAATCAAGCAGTAAAAAGTAAACTGTGCTTCCTACGCGATCATTCGAAGGGAAAATTACGTTGCCAAAAAAGGAGAAAGAGATGAGACTTGCGAAGAAAGCTTAGAATTGTGCCGACAGAATGTTCCTCGCGGCAGAAGGTACCGATTTAATTATATCAATTGCCCTACGTTCCCATTACACCTGAAGGCGTAAAACAAGTATTGCAAATTGTGAGAATCACCGAAAATGTGTTTTTAATTCTTGAATTAAATGAACAACGCCAATGTCTCATGTGATGTCAATATAAGCATTATCACATAATTATCCTTGAGTCTGATTATTTTTCACAAAGCTTGACGTCATCCTCTTTTAAAGATGAAGGAGTTTTTGGAGCTATGCGCACCTGATATGGATTTCATCAATGCTGTGGGGTTTGTGTTGCAAGCCTCCCTATGCAGACTCACGGCCACGCAGAAGTACATATTTCATGCAATCTCCCAACTATTTGGGATCGACACCAAGGAAAAGTTCGTGCTGTTGATAAGCTTTAGTGATGGACAGGAGGCGCCAGTCATCCAGACAGTCGAAGGTGCCGGGTTTTCCTACAACAAGCACTACTACTTCAACAACTCTGCCTTGTTCGCATCCAACAACTGGGAACTGCAAAAAATGTTCTGGGATTTGGGGTTGAAAAGCAACGAGATGTTCCTGAATTCCTTGGGTAAAACAGCTCCTGTGGGTCTGGCGCAGACAAAAATTGTGCTCGCTAAAAGGCAAGACCTGAATGAGACATTAAAAGAATTGCAGAAAAAGATCCCTGAAGGTAAGCGAATTTTCACAAAGGTTTCTTGGATTCTTGTACTTCATTTCCTGTATACACGTCCTTTCCTTCCAGTTTCGTCTAAAATCATTCATCTTGAAGACAAATGCTCACTACTTAAGAATAATTTGTCCACGGAAGTGCAAAAAATTCCATTGGAGAAGGAAAATGCCATAAACTGTTCTAAATGCAAACATACCACGTGCGAATATCCGGCAACGATCTCAAAAGTCACAAACGTGAAGGAAAGCAAATGCATGAAATCCGAGGAAAAGTCGTTCCACTGCAAAAAATGTGGATGCTCTTGGAGGTACCATCGACTAGAACCTAAAAGATACGAAATGAAAGCTACCCCAAAGAGGAAGCGAAGGAAGGATCCAGTAAAGGACGACGAGGAACGAAGGCAAAGACGTGATCTCCAGCGGCTTATTATCGAAATTCAGAAGAACCAGGTGGAATTGCTCTCTCTAATCCAACAGGCTCACCAAGCTACTAACGAACTCAGGAAGATTGCCCTCAATCCGGACCCGATGCCCATGGAGGAATACATTAACTTCCTCGTTGACCTGGAGAAGAAAGAGCACAAAGAGGGGTTCTCAATGCGAATCCAACAACTAGAGCAGGTAAAGCAGGCGTGCGATGTTTGCAAGAAGATGCTCGAGGAGGAAAATATTTCCGCTGATTTTCCAGACGTAATGCATATCGTAGAAAAGCAAGGAATAGACTTTGAGAGCCTGACAAACGATTCCACCGACACAGAATCGGAAGACGAAGCACCAAGGAACATAGTTGACACCTTCAAGGTTATATTCAGCTTCTTTCGTAAGAATTCGAAGAAAATTTGAATTTCGCCGAGAAGCAGGATTTTTTGTACATCAAACGTCATCCAGAGGCCGAAAATATCGTAGCATGGTGACGGAAGAACAGGCATGAGCAAAGAGTCATATTTCCCTGATGTATTTAGTTTTGGTCATTGTCAGAGTCCTTTCTCACTAGTATTAACTCCACATATTTTCGTTTTGCTATGTTAAAAGAACTGAATCACGTTTTTATTTCCTCTTAACAAAGTGGAAAGTCTTTTCATCTGGGTTTTTGTTCAAATATATACATGATGGGTACTGATTAAGCGTGCGCATTTCTTTGTGTTTGATCCATATTCCTTTTTCCTCCCTGGAACTGATTTTCTACCTTCTTTACAGATGCACGATGGACTTATTGTGAATCTTGTAAATGCCCACTGTGGTTCGCGCGTCCACGTCGTGAAGATGGGCCTCAGTAATTCGGAAGGCTGTATTTTCTCATGTCTTGCTATGATGCAGGAACTTCCCTCAAGAGTTATGAATCCAAGTGAAACCATGCATGTTCGGCCTTCGATGATATTATGGAGACCAATCATCGGCAGAGTTGTTCTTATCTGTCCCACACTTTAGAGAGTCAGGGTTCTCGGCGGTCGTTCAGTGGCTGCATTCAAGAATAGTCTTATCTCAGTCTCCTATACTTAGATTTGAGCAATTACTAACGTATCTAAGCACCCTGCTTGGACGGATGACCCAATTAAGTTATCTTATAAAGAAGTGCATATAGCTAAAGTGGAATACTCAAATATAAGGGAATGTCCCCTATCACTTATCCATTCTGTTCAGACATAGACTGATGAGTAACATGGCGGTTTTCATGTCAATAAAGTACAGTATATTCTAAAGAAGGGCTCTTGCGCATGAAAGAGCTTTTCTCGACAGAACCAATCCGCTTGATGCCTATGACGACTCCGAAACAGTCGTTGCCGATTGGCATGACTGACAGGAGTGGCATTATTTGAGAAAGAAGGAGTTGCTCCAAGAAATCCCCACATATTAATGGTGTTTCTTTTTTCAAGTTTATGGGGCTTTGCAGTACATTGGCATAGGATCCTTTTAAACTGTGCTAAATGGCTGTGTGGAAATCTCCTGGCCTTCTGCATGCAGGATAATGCGGAAGATTGGTCTTGCCTATACAGTAGACTTCCCAAGACGACACAGTTGGAACTGTGTGACTACAAGCATACCTCTTACAGATTGTTTCAAGAAATACAACTCAAAATCGCTTCATTTATCGAGCCTAAAAAGCCTACAACGTCCTCAGGTAAGAGTCCATGAGATCGTTTTATATTTTAAACAATGATAGAACAGAAACAGACTTTGGGTGAGCGAGTTTCAACCTCCAGAGCTTGTGCGATGGCCGGCATCAGCTGTTGGCTTCAATTCTTTCTTTCTCTGAGATGGAGAAATGAGAAAAGATTCCAAGAAGTTCAAGGGCGTGAACCAGTTTGAACTGGGTTCATGCAGCTGGGTCCAGGCACCGGACATGAAGAATGCAAGTTATGCAACCTCAGTGGTGATCCTCGACATTTGCTTCCATATCATCGGAGGGTCAAGGAAGCACGAACGGTTGGGCACGAAGTCAAAGACGCGGGGCGAACTGTCTCCATGTTCAGGAGGCAAGAAGCGCCCCGGTATTACAGTCCAAAATGGGGAAATTCATGTCGTCGGCGGTGGTAGTGCAGATGTTCCTGAATTAACTAAATCTGTGTAAAAAAAAAAAAAACTCAGTCCGCGGGGGTCTATCGAGCAGCATTTATTGAAAAGAAGTTACTCATTGGATATGGACAAATGGAACGCTTGTTGGTAGCGGAGTGGGGGATACACTCCAGCGCTGTCTTTCCTGATCATCATATCCCCATGTCGATGTCATCAAATCGAACTCCTCCTGTTTTTAAATTCATTATTTGGACTAGTCGTCTTTTGCAGATGGTTTTCATTCTAAACGAATAGCAGCTGAATTAATGAGCATCAATATCCAGAGGCTTTACATTAAAATTTTCCCTTGGTTTACATCAACCTCAGTCTGCAAGGCATGACAAAAAAAATACCAACGACTTCAACTGTATCTTAAGTAATATCTCACAAAATGTGCTATGGATGAAGCATGCCTCAGTTTATTGCAAGCCAATAAGCCTGCCAAAATCTATTACTTCCAATCATACAGTAGTTTAAATTATATCCTCTGATAAATCTGACATTTGAAGTGGACAGTACCTTCAGAAGACCAAGGGAAATTTTGAAGAACATTGAGAAAACTCAGAATTGAAACTCATTTATTCATCTCTTGTTCATTAGTAATTAGCTATTGAAAATCATATGCAAGAGATGTTCAAAGTTAAATAGACCTGGTTCATGTCTCTGTGAGCCTGAAAGACCCGCACGAGACACCCTCCGAGAACATGTCCTGGCTACATTCCTATTCCGACTTGGAGATTTTTTCGTTAAGATCAGGTCATGAGCTTCCAGGACGATGTAGTTAGGACAAAGTTGGAGATATTTTGTCCCCTGAAGCTTCTTCGTATCTCGAAGGTCTTCTTTGTACTCAGGAAATCAGGAGTAACGAAAGACTGGAAGACATCCAAAAAATTGAGTTGACTTCCAGCACCTCACCTTCTTCTTCTCTTTCCCTGGAGACTTCCCGTTTAGCTTATGTAGTGATCCTTGTTCCCGTCCTTGTCATGAAACTTCAGACACTGATTGGCCATAGGGCAGGAGGGACACCGCTACTAGCACCTCACCTTCTTCTTCTCTTTCCCTGGAGACTTCCCGTTTAGCTTATGTAGTGATCCTTGTTCCCGTCCTTGTCATGAAACTTCAGACACTGATTGGCCATAGGGCAGGAGGGACACCGCTACTTGTGGTAATAAAAGATTCAGAAGGATGTGAGATCCGGAACCTTCTCGACAGAGACTTCCTGAGCAGCCACGGGAATTTATGGAGAACACACATTTGTCCTGCATCCCTGTCATCTTCCTGAAGAGAAGAGAAGAGAGTAACTATCAATTTCTATCCCTCCCAGATCCTTCTATCCCTCCCTTACGAAAGGATAGCCACGGGAATTTATGGAGAACACACATTTGTCCTGCATCCCTGTCATCTTCCTGAAGAGAAGAGAAGAGAGTAACTATCAATTTCTATCCCTCCCAGATCCTTCTATCCCTCCCTTACGAAAGGAGGATGGCAGGCCTTTGGGCGCTACACATGTATCAAAGTGAGTTCACTTCAATTGAAGTGTTTTCGAGTCACATTTAGGAGCATGACCTAGGGGGAAAGACTCCTAATGTAGCTTATCTTTTGCTAAAGGCAGCTCTACAATTGCCACTTGTGTTCCATATATCACTTTCCTATCACATCAGCTCTTCTCACTAGAGTGAAATAGAAAACGTTAGTCAGTGTTCCATTCATCTAGTGTGCCTCAATGACCATATGAGTATCAAACAACAGCTAATTTTGAGCCAAATTTTATCTATATATTGTACATACAGATACATATACTACGTACTGCCTGTAAAAAGTTTGTTACCCCGTTGATTTTCTGGAATAAAATGGAATTATGCCTTTCACTTAGTTGGGGAAGTTTCAAATTTTGAAAATAATTGGCACTCTTGCAGTCCGAAAGGGAATGGTTACAGAAATAAGTTTCATGAAATAAGTAATGTTAAGAATGCCATTATAGATGTATTACACCGTAATTAAAGGTAAAAGTAGTAGGAATCTGAAGTTCCTTCAGTAAATTATTCAAATCTTGGGGGTATCTAGGAATATGTTCAGCTCCCCTATGTATGTACACACGCATGAAAACACCTCTTCGTGCTGCGGTTGGATCTCTGGATTTGCCCCTCGGAGCACTGGCCCATTACTGCGACAAAGTAACTTCACAATGTTGACAAGGAGTCTAAGTATTGGGAGGCGGTAGACACCTTTGCCTTAAACATGTTCAATGGCATCAAGTTTGCTGAAATGGCTGGCCTGTTGAACCAGACTTTTTGATCCTGCTGCAGCTGTTTGCTTGAGCACCTATGCCCGNCTTTTTGATCCTGCTGCAGCTGTTTGCTTGAGCACCTATGCCCGATGAGGTGTTATCTTGGAGAGCTGCTCTTTCTTTCCATTTTTGCAAGTATGACAGGAGAACAGGTTGCTGAACTTATCTCTAGCGTTGCCCTGACAAATTTCCATGGACAACCTGCAGTTGACATCTGCCGCGGTCAATGGCACCTCCTCCAATCACTTCTCTCACTTCAGTTAGTTGCGAATCCTCGTGAATGAAATGCGTGCATCCAGAGCTTGAGAGGGGTACTATTCTCAAGATAGTGGGAGACTAGGAATGAGGGGATGGACGAGAAGGCGAAGGCAGAGAAAGGAAGGAGAAAGAAACTGTTTACAGGGAAACAGGTTTGAGATGCAGATCCCCTCCGTCATCGCTTTCTTCCCCTAGCATTTTCCTTCGCATTCACGATTGACACCTTCAGGAGTAGTAGTACTTTCAAGTCCAAGCCCATCCTATCTATCACATACCCAAGAAACATGAAAGCAAACGGCAACCACCATCAGTCATCCCAGCATCGGCGAAAAGAAACATTTCCAATGCCTAAAGTTTACATAATTAAATGCTTGAAATATTTGGAGAGACTCTGATGGGAAAATGCAGGCATCGACAGGTGGAAAATGGATATTTTAATATTATTAAGATAGGAGGGAATATCTAAAAATCATTGTATAAGAGCAAGACACTAAAACGAAGTGATGAAAGGACACACTGGAGGAATTCACATGATTGGACATCAAGGGTTCTCCTCCAGGTTGCAATTGACTTGAAGTAGGGAAATTCCATCTCACGAGACCTCATTTGAGTGGCATTTCTGACATTCGGCTTGGTTGCTTACCAGGACAAGGGGAGCACCCTTATTCCTCATATGTGAGTCCTTATCGCTATCTTTTCATAGGTTTCTGAAGTCTATTCCACATTTCTTGTCATTCCTAGAATTTAAAAAATACATATAGAAATTTGGGACATTGCTTGAATTATAGTATCACATTTTCCTTCTGCAAGTTTCGATCATGATCTGAGAAGTGCACATTATTTTTTCAGTACCGAACATGGCCTTACGTATATCAGGTGACATAACATTCCACCACCCAAATTTCTTTATTCGCGATCATCTGTTTGGAACTCTATTGCTACAGATTTTGGGCTCTCAAAGTACCCACCTAAAACCCAACTTGTGTTCGCACCTGTGCTATCAGCTTTGATGCTAGTTTTATTATTGCTGTCTGACCAATGTATTTGAATTGAATATTTTCAGTCATTTTGGGGAACTTCATGAAATGGAAAGAAAAAGCAGATAAAGAAAAATGCCTCTCAAACCACAGGATAGTGCCTCCGACTGAAATCCATACTTCAGTGCCTGAAGAATTTCAACCAGCAAATGGCTCACTCATACAAGTCACTTAACAGGAGCATTATTACTAGAGCTTCAAACCCGAGAAGCGTATGTCACAAGATAATTGTATGCCTAGGCTAATGTCAAGAATTAGCTAGGTCTTTTGAAAAGTGAATTTTTTGTAATCAAAAGAGTTGAGAAGTATTTGACATAGGACACTGTGAAGAACAGTGCAGCCTTGTCTGATACATGCACCAAGCTTCACCATAAGTCACATTACGCAAGCTTGGGATGTTTAGCACGTGTGTTCGCACGAATGCTAAATGAAAGAAAAAGCATTCTAAAGTGCCTCTTTCAGTTCCACCCTTGGGGAACAGCCTCCTGGAAATGGGGCACCACTAAGAATTTTACCTCCAGTTAACTCTCGACCTTTATTTAATCTTAGAAATTGTGGAGGCCATACTTTCTGCAATTGTCCGTGGGGTAACCTCATGTCGTTTGGGAGATAAAGGGTGTGAATAGGAGGAAGAAGTGTACAAACCTTTTTTCTCGAAATCTTCCAATTATGGATCAAATGGATAAAAATCTCCCTCCAGCTTCTCTGCCAATTCTGATATGGTTCGGGCATCTTTGTGACTTTCCATCCATCGGCGAGTTTGATCTTTTTCACTAGGAGTCTCTGTCACGACGTCGATAAATTCAGTGAGTCCTAAAGGATTGCGTTGAAAAGCCATTTTCTTGAGTTTCTGCATGCACTCCTGAGCACTCTTCGTCAGTCTTAGGGCGTGGATTTTCTCCTGTTTG